TGAGACTTGAGTACACAATTTTGTGATATTAAGTTATAATTTACAAATAATTTGAGACTTGTTTCTTAACATAATAATTGTAGCGAACTCCTTGATAGATTTTTATACCATTTTTAAATTTTATAATAATATTCTTTGACATATTCCTTTTGTTACTTTCTATTATATATCGCTGTCATACTAGTCGCATTTTATTTAATCTCCGTATTTTCCTCATTAAAACCCTCAGCACCTCACACTCATCAGACACATTTGATACCTCCGCTTCAATAATAACATTGAATTTAACATATATATGTAAGCATTATAATAAAAATTTGGAATGGTTTTATATATGTATATTAGAATTATATATATATTTTCTTTTGTAAACTGTAACAATTTACTTATAATGAACTTACAGCCAATAATTTAATAAATTTTAATTATATGTTATATCTAGAACCTCGGTAACTTTAGGTACTACTTCTCAAGCGAATGAAGTCCGTAGTAAATGGTAGATATAACAGATGACTTCAATATTTATGACAGTGTGCCCAATAAACTGAATATTTCAGAACATCTCAAGATCCTGGTAGTAAAAATCCTATCATTTCCGCAACTAAAATACTCTTGGCCTTCTATTAAATAAACGGATGACGGGAAAAGCGGACTATGTCGTCCATTATGATATATATCTACAATAATTATGATTTGTACGAAATGAAAACAATCAACCTTCTGTAATTCACATAAGGTTCAGTTTGGAAAATAGAAGTTACAATCTCAATTTTAATAGGTACACGAATATCACACCCCTGCTTATCATTAATCCCGCTAGATAACAAAACAATGGGATTTTGATTTAATGTCGTAGTTTAAAACATAGCATTACTATTTTAATTTATTTTAAAAAGAAAATGGGTTTGATTTCAATGTTACGTATGTTTTGTATATTGTATATATGTGTACACATATTGATGGAATCGAATCGAAATCATATCTATATTTGGTGTTAGAAGGTATGTGGTATCATGGTACTCATAACTACTTCTATTAACTTAGGTTCATTAAAACTACTAGAATCATTTTTTTGTTTTTCTGTAGCATTAGTTATTATTTAATATTATGTCTATTTCATTTGTACATAAGTGTTTTTGTGTATTAACTAATATTTTGTTATTATAAGGATATCTACTTATACAAATAAACTAGATGTTGCAGATAAAATAACATGTATATTATCATAATCTGTTTATTATTATTATTTAATGTGTTTGTTAATGTATAAGCTATTACATTATGGCCCATATGTAGCCTGAATTAAATAAATAATAATTCTTCAACTGTATTTATTAAAGTTTAAGAATATGTTTTTCTTTTAATTTTCATATATTGTTATATCTTTGATTTATGTTTCTAGAAGTAAAACTATTTAATAAAATAAGTATTAATTTTTAAAACAAATTCTTACAAAAGCATAAATTTCAACCAACATAAATAGATAAGCCAACATATCACCACAACTGTTATATAAAATCTGGTAGTCAGAGGCATTGTAAACTGTCAATATTGTTATGAACGTATTACGATATGCCGACATTTCACACGTTATATTTTGAATCAAACATAGCAAGGAGATTTTCCGCCATCCCTCCAATCACTTTTTGTTTGATATCGGTATTTTCTTCAACAGACAGTTAGTTAGGAATACTAATTGACACAAAAAGTATTTTTTTATAGTGATTTGAACTCACGACCTCTTGGGTGCAATGCGGGGTAATGAAACTCTAGACCACGTCGCCCTCAGCTAGTAGACTGTAACATTATATTTAGAAACAAAATACGAAAAGCATCAACATGCTATTATTAGCATCTATTAGGATTCAAGAAACCGTTGCACTGCTCCCGCTTGTTTATTGTTTAAGGATGTTTTCCATTGTTGATTATTCAAAACGGGAGAAGTTTACAATATGAAACAAAAAGTATTATAGCCCGCATAAATTCCCGGAATAAAATAATATTACCCGGGTAATCTAAATGATCCGATCTGTTTGGTTAATACTTGCATAATAATTATCTTTATTATCTTCTTTATATATAATAAAATTGTATAATTGTGCAGAGGCGATAACTGTCTATTTGTATAATATTTAATTTCACATTAGGTTCACGTAAAAAAGGTTGGAGGAATTATAATTAATTTTAGACTATTAAATCTGTATATAGAATATAGTGAATAAATACTCCCGATAAGAGATAAATAATTCTATGATAATTTTCAATACGCTACCCAAGATTTTAATTCATTAATCTTATTTATTTATTGTTATTATTTGATCACAATGAAGATTGCGCTCTACAAATGTATATACAAAGTCGTGGACACCGCTAGTCATAGATTAATTTAGTTGCGAATTAATAATATTTATAGATAAAACAAATTTGTATATTCGTTAATACAAGTACATACTCCCAACAATGTTAGAGTACTCGCATTTTGTAGCTAGGAATGTAGCACTCGTAACATTGTACGTAAGGAGGTTGACTAAACCGCTACCCTATATAATTATAAATTACCACTTTGCTATAGAATAAAAAAGCCTATTGTAACCAATAAAATTAGATATGCATAGAAAAAATAGTTGATAAAATAAATAATAACAAATAGTATAGCATTATATATATTCCAGCGTGTGTATTTAATAATAAATATGTATGATTATAACCTGCCTAAATGAAAATTTAATCCCAAAGCCAATATTAAACATTCAGATTTCGAGGAAATTTACTTTACAAACGGAAAACTAATTAAAATGTAAAATAATACTTTCTTAAAAAATCATTTCATTGTTTAGAGAGGCAACAGGCATAAAAAGAACAATTCTTTTCGTTGGTAAAAAAAACATATTTTTAAATTGTCTTCCCGATTCATAATTCAATCTTACTATGTACCAAGACTACTAAATACTATTATTATGCACTACAGAATTACAGGGGACCTGCCAACCACAGGTTATGTGGTGACGATTTCAATTAAAAATCATTTATGTATATGTCACGTTTTAACCGTGCTATATACTACATTAAAACAGGGGTAATGTCGAATCAGTGAAAATGGAAGAAAAATTAGTTCAGCGGGCACACTATGTGAAGTTGGCTCTAATTTGCTTACTAGATCGTAAGCAATCCAGGGCTCCCTCACTACTCCGATATTACCCCTGATTATAGTATCCATAGAAAAAAGATACTTCTTTTGATCTGTTGTAGTAAGCCCTTATACAAGTATGTTATAAGTTATTATAAATAGATAATAGATATAGGAATATATAATATTCAAACTTTATTAACTTGTCTTGTTTTTGCTCATCCAACTAATTAGATTTCTTACCTATAAGAATAAATTAATGCGAATCTATTGTTCAGTGTCCGAACGCTCACAAAGCGAACTTGTAAACTACACAACGGCTCTAATTACCAAATTACAATAGATCGCATATCACTGCGGCCTAAGTAAACACGAAGATTGAAAATCTACCAAGCGGCCCAGAGGTACTAAAGCTATTTTAACTAGTAACAGTATCGTAAATTTTGATACAATTATATTGTGGAATTTAATTGTGTGGCCTGACTATCATTCCATTTATAATATAACCATTCTAAAGTGTAGTTTTTTTAGGAAATAATATAGCGTATTTTTAATACTGCTTATTTATAATAATTGTAATTGTGTACCCCAATATAAGCAAGAAAAATCACAATATTAATACGTAAAACTTTGCTGAAAAGAAATAGCCTTAAAAATAGGCTTATAAAGCAATTTGACAGCTGAAATAGGTGAGACTGAGACTGATATCTGGAAGTAGACGGGACTATCGGGACGGTCAATACTAACTATAAAATAAAGTAATGTAAATTGGTATAAACTGACAAAAAAATATATATTCTACCAGTTGAAATGTATAATATTATAGAGCATGAATGGAGACACAATCAATATAATCTACAATTTAAATGAATATCACTGTAAAGCAAGGAAATATCAATAATATCCGTTCCAACACTCTTCCAATCAATTGACTCCAAGAAATTTCTAAAGAATTGACCGTAGGTACGTGACACAAATAATATATCGCACGATAAAAAACACCTTTTATTCGACTTTGATTTCATTTTTTCATATGATCAAAGCAATCTTACGGACTTTGGTAGAAGCAATCTTACGCTTTGTATTAAGAACGTTGTTACAAACGCGACAAGTATAACTATAGTTACATACACACGTATAGGTTTGAAAATTTTCGATACGGAAAAACAAGGATAAATTTAATACTTTTTCTTTATCAATAAATTTGTAACGTAATTATATATTTGTTTAATTAACTTTTATTTACTTTAATTGCTTATGAACAGCTTTTAATTATACTATTCTATTGTAAAGTTTAATTAGCATTAAGAATTTACAACGAAAACAGTGAGTTCTACGAATATTAATAAAAATATAATTATTCAAACTACAGTGATAAATGTACTTTAAAATATTATATGAGTATAATAAATTAAAAAATATTTAGTAATATGTATACCAGTAGAAGTCTGGAAATTATTAGAAGATGGATGCAAGTGGCTAGCTTTATTCTTTAATAAATTATTGCAGGAAGTGGCGATCCCTAAGGAATGATACAATAGTTCACTAGTGCCCATTTTTAAGAATAAGGGTGATGTACAGGATTGCAATAATTATCGAGGAATAAAGCCCATGTCTCACAGTATGAAAGTATTGGAGAAAGTGATAGAGAAGCGATTGCGTGATGAGATCAGTATCACCAAAACCAGTTTAGATTTATGCCAGGCCGAAGTACCTACAGATGCCATGTTTGCACTGCGCCAGCTGTGTGAAAAATACAGACGTGCTCACAAGAACTTGCACATGGTGTTTGTGGATCTGGAAAAGGCGTACGATAAAGTACCCCGACCGGTTTTGTAGTGGGCCGTGAAAGTATGTGGAGTTAATTCGTGCTATGTACAGTCAACCTCATACATACGTTCGGTCGACCGCGGGAAATACCAGCGAGTTCAGTGTGGCTGTAGGCTTGCATCAGGGATCGGATTTAAGCCCGTACCTCTTTTTGTTGATAATGGATGCCTTGACGTCGGAGATGCAAGAAGAGGCACCCTGGTGCATGCTATTTGCACATGACATTGTGCTCGTTGGTGAGGAGGGAGCTGAGATACAGAGTAGATTGGCAATATGGCAGCTTAGGCTGGAAAGCGGTGGCTTAAAGATTAGTAATTCCAAAACGGAATACATGTTATATATAAACGATATACACGACTTTGGCGGTCTTTCTGGCTCTGCAGCCATATCATCTCCATTGCCGATCTGCTCCAATTTCCGGTATTTAGGTTCACTCCTCCAAAGCAATGGCGAATTAGACCGAACCATAAAGCACAGAATTAACTCTGGTTGGATGAAGTGGCGGCAGGTTACGGCGACGACGTGCGACTCACGAGTTACCCTTAAACTTAAGGGCAAAATTTACAAGACCATGACCTCCTATTTTATATGGATCGGAGTACTGGCCTATAAAGGCGATGGATGAGAGACGACTGCATGCAACTGAAATGCGAATGTTGAGATGGATGTGTGGTGTGACAAGGATAAACAAGATAAAGAATGAATACATCAGAGGAAATATGAAAGTGGCACCGATGTCGGAGAAGTTAAAGAATAATCGACTATCGTGGTATGGACGTGTAATACGTAGGAATGAAGATCATTCCCTAAGGACGGTGTTACATATGAATGTGGATGGTTATAAGAATAGAGGAAGACCGAAAAAGAGATGGATGGACTGTGTGAAAGATGATATGGTGAGAAAGGGAATAAATAACGGGATGACTGCGAACAGAGATGAATGGAAGACAAAAACATATTACACCGACCACAAATAAAAGATAAGGAAGAAGCAGATGATGATGGGTGGAAAACTGGGTGAGTATAGGTAGAACAAACTCGCTTACTCTAAACGAATTTTCGTATGTAGGTAAAGCAGATTGTTCACAAAATAACTTAACTCTATTTACAAATCTATTGAAACTTTCAAAAGGTTTGATATCTACGTAACGAATAGTTTTAAATACAAATGGAATCGGATATAGCTAGTACTGCCATGCAAAATACCGCCACCATTCAAACAATGTACCCTTACATAGCAATAACCAACTCATACTCAGTTTCGTAATACAATAACGGGACACGAAACAAAGCAGGAAGCAGTCCCAATTTCTATTTACGCAATCTTCCTACGGGGACTATATTATGGCTTATAAAGCTACAGACACACGATTTTCAATTAGATATGAAAATTAGATTTTTTTATTTGTATTACTATTGTTATCAGTATCCACCCAAATTTGCTCAACAGTGAGTAGTACTGTAAATCAACATATACCTAACAGAGGTACACAGGTAGGTTTACACAAAGTCGTCTGCTTAAGAATAGCAAATTTGAGCTAAAAAGTCAAGACTTTTTAGCTCAAGTCAAGACTTTTAGATACAAGTATCTAGAGCACTAAAACAGATTAATAAAAAAAATCACTAACACCATTTACATAATAACGTACGTACGGTGCAGTTCCTATATATAGTCGACGGTTGACACTTAACGTCACGAAAGACACTAGTTTCTTTGAATTTTGTAGCTGACAAACAAAAACTCTCATTGATGACCCAAAATATTGACATTGTTAAATAACACTTTACACAACGTTTATTATTTTTTTCTTTAATAATAATATTAAATAATCCTAATAAATACGGTACGGTACTAGAAACAGCGGCTCAGTTTAACTACGATTGTTTTGCGCGAATGAAATTTTTTTAGCCAACAATTTATTGCTGGTTCCTTTCTGTTTTTAGTTGTTTTTCATTAATTAAGTGCCGTTAACAATTTTTAAAGGAAAATGTTTTATTAAAATAATAACCATTGTGATTTTAGTTATAAATTATTGTTTATTGGCTCGTTCCGGCGAGCACCACTTTGCTATTTTTTGTAATGAAAATAATTAACAATGTAAACCGAACTGTTTTCATTGTAGACTGCTCTGTGTATTTAAAAAATATTCAGCAAATATTATATATAATTTTTAATGGTTCGTGTAGTGTTATAGGTTTTGAATTTATAATAAAGCTATTGTTGGTTACTTATATTTTGTTAATTTAATAAAAACATATGTTTTATTATAATTGTAATTTAAAAAAAACTGTCGACCTACCTGATGGAAAATAGTAACTGTAATCTTAACAGATGAAGACTTTACAGAATATATTGTGACACTGATGATACTTCTCATGCTGTGCCACTCCAGAGACCTAAAGTATTATATATTTTAGAATTTACATGCTTTACCGTATCACGACTTGCATAGCAAACAAATGCTATTTTATAGAAATTTTCTCTCCAGTGAGTATTCTTTTCTAGTAGAAGATTCGTTTATACGAAAATATACTAATTTATACTAGCTACCTGCCCGGCTTTGCACGGGTGTACATATATTATACAAATATATAAACCTTGAATTACTATTGCTAAATACTGCATTAAAATCTATTGCATAGTTTAAAAGGTCTAAGCGAACAGACACCGAAAACGACTTCATTTTATACTATATAAAGATAATACAATATATTTCTAAGTGTATTAATATCAGGTATGTAATATAATATAATAACCTAATTCCGTGTTAATGACACTTATGAAAGCAAAACAGCGAGACGGAAAATAGGGCTTAGAGAAAGGGTAAATAAGGTAATTAGTGAGGTAGGCATACGTACACTAGTGAATCCTTTGTTCGACTCTAGTAATTGTCTAGCGGCATGCTTCTTATATATAATCCTCAGAAATGTTTCATTAACAATACACTTATGCTGCAATTTGTGAAAATTGCTCTGATATCTTATTTACTTAATTATTTAACCGACGTAGATTTTGTAGTCTGCGCCTTGTCTATATCTATTTCTTATATTCCGGCAAACAAGTAGCTAGCTTCGTTAAGTCACCTGCCGTGTGTTGGTCTAGTCGTGCTAAGTAAGTTAAATTTCCGTTCAATAGGTTGATTCAATGTGGCAAAAGACTATCGCAGCGAAATTTCAGGGTGCGGTAGTATAATTCCTTTGTTCTCTGGATTTGGAACGCATGAGGAATACTACGGGTATTACTAAAGGATGTGATAACCGTGGTTCAGTCAGCAGTCAGCTTATATGCTCCATTCCATATACATAAAAAAATATCCACATGTCTAAGTATTAATCACTGTCTTCTGTACTTGTATTAGTCAGTGAACAATTTTAATCAAACCAATTTTATTCAAATCTTTGAATTAAACTCAGCGAAAACTTATACAGAAACTAGTAACAATTGTTCTACGAACTACTAAATTATTTACTTCAGGCTAATTCCCCATTTAATAAATCATAGTAACTTTCTAACTAATTCTAGGGTTTATTTCACGAATTTTATCTATCTATAATATAAAAGAATGGAGAATATGAATCACAATATTACGAATATCCGAATTTCAGCGCACCGATTCTCTAATCAAAAGCTAACATTCGTTGGAACATCGGTACCTGTACCAAACGCAATAATCATAATTCACGAATGTACTAATCCTGTTATTGCGTCTTCCGCGCAATCCTCCAACAATTAACGTTCATTATATAACTTTGTATGGAAACAATATTTGTTCTAGATGCAAGCAAATGTAATTAGTTGACGAGTTGTAGTTCTCCCCTAGTCCCCGATTGCAATCTCTAATTGTCCCGTTTGCACTCCGCCAGGTTGAAACAGGACTTCGATTGGCTTCGGTTTTATTATAACGGCTGATGTAAATCGTAGGTGTGTGAGAGTTTATACAGCTTCAGGCAGGTTTGCAAAGACTGTAAAGGACTATAATTTCATGGTTATTAAAGTAAAAATACTGACGTATTTTTCACTTCTCTGTTTTAAATGAAAAGCTGCTATTTTTATATAATACAATTTGTCAATTAATTTAGAATATGACCGTTACAATATTACATAAAAACATTTTATAAAAAAATAAAATTGGATTATCATTTTTTTAAATATATATGATTATTTTAAACATGATTCTTAAAGTATCTGATAAGAGTCCTATTTAAGAAAGAATATTTTTGTCAATACATTGCTTCTTTAACTCGGTATCTCCAAATTAATCGAAAACTGTAATCGAGTGCAATTGTGTGTGTGTCGCTATTTGTAAATTTAGTCACAAATAGCAACGTAAATGTAATGCTGTCTGCATCTTTCGACTATTCTTAATCTTAGTCACAGTTAGAATACCTGTCTAAGAAATTCTAAAATTTATAACCGATATGGGGACAATGATTCATTTCACTTTCTTTCAACTACATGTTCAAACTCATACCGCGTATGGTCACCTATAACTTATTTTTTGGCACGAAAACAAGATAGGTTGTTAAAACAGAGGATAACTGCAGCCGCGGTCCCACAAACGCAGGCCATGTTTGATTTTCTGCCAAATTCGACTCATCATAAAACAGAGATCCTATCATGGTATATAATATATCTGCTTGTTATTATGTAACAATGTTTTAATACACATTCTGCATTTGTAATCAACTTCGTAATATTATTATACTTTATAATATTATTATTCTTCAGTCTACCTACTCAATTACGTATGTATTGAATCTATCTATCGTCCGGCATTTCATTTAAATAGTAAAACAATAATGATAAACTTAAATTTTATTCAAAGTTCACACCCCGCAGATTTTAATTTAAAGTTAATGTTTTTATGTTCTACTATTACATAGTCTTTTATTATTTTGTAATATTTATTGTTAGTGTATCAGGTATTGGTAGTACAAAACACATTATAATTGTAATTTTTGCTACAGACTACACAAAATATTTATAAAAACTGTTGTCAACTCTTTTTATTCTAAGTCAAATAAAAAAGACATTGAGATATTTATTTTTTATTTATTCTTTATTGAACAAAAAAAAAATTTTGTACAACAGGCGAGCTTAATGCCGTATGGCATTCTCTCCCAGCTAACCTTAGGGTATAAACAGAAAGCGTAATGGGGTATTAGCGAGAGCTGTTTTAAATTATAGATATGTTCACTGTATCTTGACAACGCTCTTTTCAAGTAATACATTTATATAGTAAACCGATTCAAGAATACACAATAAACAGATAATTTGCTGACTGTAAGATTTATTTTACTAAGATTATCGTGGTCCACTTTATTTACACCTAAAGATACAATCGTCTACACCACAAGGCAAATGCATAAAAAAAGTTTAATAGCGTGCTAGACATCCATTAGATATTAAATTTGTTTTCAGGGATTTGCAGGGTCGCCCATAAGGCTCATGTCTATAAAAAATTCGTTAAAGTAACCAAAGTATTACATGCTACTTTGTGGTGTTTACAAAAAATTGCTATCTTGATTTTTCACATGCATGTTTAAAAAGAAGGTTGGTTGTTTTGTTTGGCAACGACTCAAGATTGGTTAGATTATAATAATAAGTGCTTAGTTGACTCCAAA